TCTCTAGGTAATTCTTCTTTCACTGTCGGATCTAAAGCTACCGTATTAATTGGTGGTAGCATTTTCGTGTTAGTTATCATGCTCTCTAACTGTTTGATCTTCTCTTGTACTTTATCGAATGTTTTAGAGACTTCTTCAAATTTCTCATTGTTCTGAATACAAACTTCTTTAATTATTTGAGAAGTCTCATCGAATCTTCTAGATACATTTTCAAATTTCTCGTCATTTTGTCTAGCTATGTTTTTAATAATTTGAGACGTTTCATCGAATCTTTTATCATTCTTTCGAGAAGATTCTTCGATTTTGTTAGAAGTTTCTTTAATCATTTGTGAGACATTTTCAAATTTCTTATCATTTTTTATAGAAGATTCTTCAATCATTCAACTGTTTTACTGAAAGTTCTACTAGCAGCATCTTTGGTTAGGCACACACGTACTTTTTAAATGTTCTTTTGTACAATGATCACTACCGAACTTCGCGGATGTTCCCGGCGAACAATACTTTTCAAAAGTTCAAAAATCTTTTCTTTTTTCAAAGTCACTGCTGAATTTATTTTTAATAAATCAAATATTGTCCTCACACTATGACACTAACTGTACCGTTTTTAAATAAAACGAGCGGTTCGAATTTATATAAATATATTTATTTATAAAATTCCACGAGGAAACTAAGTTCCTGTAGCTGGCTGTATACCATATATCACAAAAAAATTTTGTTAAAATCCTTTATAAAAGGTATATAAAATTGCCTCAAACGGGCTATCACAAACACATTGCAAAACGTTTTCGGATTAAACAATCCATCATCAGTGCAAACCTGAAAGTATATAACCACTTTAATTAAAAAGAACGTTAAATGAAAATGTTGACAAAGGTTAGAGCAAAATGTGGTTAATACTTACGGTTGTACATGCTAGTAGCCACCAAAATATATGGGTAAAAACCCCTTAAAAGTTATAAATTTAACATTATTTTACATTATTAGTTTTTATAGTTTGTGATGGTTAAGTTACCGTTGGATAGGTAACATGGCGGCGTATGACTCTACATGAGTAAAATGGTCCTGAGACGAAGTGCCTACGAGGACCTGTTGATAACAACTGATTATAATGACAATGATGACAAGTTAGGACGGATGTTGTGTCAGAGCAGTCAGTGTAACTTATGGTAGTTGTCTAAAATTGACAGATGTCAGCCTTATTTAAAATTAAAAAAATTTAAAATTATAATAATGTAACAGTATCAACCATCAATATTGTAATCTGTATTGTAAATTAATCAGATAGGTATATTTGTAACATTGAAAATTGGTTTTTTAAAAATTAATGTAGGTCAACTAGAATTTATGAAATTTTGTGGGATTGATAGGCAACCAACTATACATGTGTAAGGATATATTTATTTTAAGCTAGAGATTTTGTCAAAAGGCCCTGTATGTTGTGAGACATTTGGTACCTAGAAAATGGTAAAAAGACACATGTGGGAAGATGGGTCCTAAAAGATATATTATTGAGTATTGATGTAATAGGTGGAAGTGTGTTTAGATCTGTTATTGAGCTGAAATGTAAATGTGACAAGAATGTGATCATAATATGGTGTTCATGTAGTACTCAACTTAAAACTTAAGTATAGAAGGCCCTTTATGTCAAAAAACTACATTTGGTACCTAGTAAAGATAAATAAAATAGATTTTTAAGTTATAAGTAAGTAAACATGAATTACTGGTTATGTGTGTAAAGTAAAGATGGTAGGTTGTTTGTGTATGTGGGCAAGTATGCCAGACTAAAGAAATATGATGGCTGAAAGATGGTTAGGTGTGATATTGTTCCTACATTGCTCGAGTTATAACTCAAGAAAACAAAAGGCCCTATATGTTAAAAGAAACATTTGGTACCTAAGAAATATAAAAGTAAAAAGGATGAGTTATAAGTTAGAGTGTAGGTAGGTGAAAAGTTTACAGGCTTATGGAGTGTATTGTGACAATATGTGGAAATGTAAGAGTAATTGTGTTTAAGGTGGATCTGTCAAGTTTACTAAAGATGTGTGATGTTTAAATGTTATTATGAAGATGAATGGGAAAACTACAAAAGACTGAGGACCACAGAGACCCGAAAACCAAACCCTGAGGGAAATTGGATGAGTGAAAAGAAGTTGTAAATGATAATGAAAAACGCAGTATGAAAAGGTGAAGATGTGTGATTGAGTGGGTGATGGTGTATATTAATGAAAATTGTTTTTGGAAAGAATGAGGCATGAAGTGCTCTGAAATTATTTTGTTGGGAAGGAGCATGGAGAATATTGGTTATTAGGTCAGATTTGAAGTTTGAATGCCTAGACAGAAGTGAGGAAAAAGAGAAAGAAGTGAGGAGTTGGATCGTTTGTTCTTTACTTTGTTCAATATATCCAACTCCTCACTTCTTTCTCTTTTTTCCTCACTTCTGTCTAGGCATTCAAACTTCAAATCTGACCTAATAACCAATATTCTCCATGCTCCTTCCCAACAAAAATAATTTCAGAGCACTTCATGCCTCATTCTTTCCAAAAACAATTTTCATTAATATACACCATCACCCACTCAATCACACATCTTCACCTTTTCATACTGCGTTTTTCATTATCATTTACAACTTCTTTTCACTCATCCAATTTCCCTCAGGGTTTGGTTTTCGGGTCTCTGTGGTCCTCAGTCTTTTGTAGTTTTCCCATTCATCTTCATAATAACATTTAAACATCACACATCTTTAGTAAACTTGACAGATCCACCTTAAACACAATTACTCTTACATTTCCACATATTGTCACAATACACTCCATAAGCCTGTAAACTTTTCACCTACCTACACTCTAACTTATAACTCATCCTTTTTACTTTTATATTTCTTAGGTACCAAATGTTTCTTTTAACATATAGGGCCTTTTGTTTTCTTGAGTTATAACTCGAGCAATGTAGGAACAATATCACACCTAACCATCTTTCAGCCATCATATTTCTTTCAGTCTGGCATACTTGCCCACATACACAAACAACCTACCATCTTTACTTTACACACATAACCAGTAATTCATGTTTACTTACTTATAACTTAAAAATCTATTTTATTTATCTTTACTAGGTACCAAATGTAGTTTTTTGACATAAAGGGCCTTCTATACTTAAGTTTTAAGTTGAGTACTACATGAACACCATATTATGATCACATTCTTGTCACATTTACATTTCAGCTCAATAACAGATCTAAACACACTTCCACCTATTACATCAATACTCAATAATATATCTTTTAGGACCCATCTTCCCACATGTGTCTTTTTACCATTTTCTAGGTACCAAATGTCTCACAACATACAGGGCCTTTTGACAAAATCTCTAGCTTAAAATAAATATATCCTTACACATGTATAGTTGGTTGCCTATCAATCCCACAAAATTTCATAAATTCTAGTTGACCTACATTAATTTTTAAAAAACCAATTTTCAATGTTACAAATATACCTATCTGATTAATTTACAATACAGATTACAATATTGATGGTTGATACTGTTACATTATTATAATTTTAAATTTTTTTAATTTTAAATAAGGCTGACATCTGTCAATTTTAGACAACTACCATAAGTTACACTGACTGCTCTGACACAACATCCGTCCTAACTTGTCATCAATGTCATTATAATCAGTTGTTATCAACAGGTCCTCGTAGGCACTTCGTCTCAGGACCATTTTACTCATGTAGAGTCATACGCCGCCATGTTACCTATCCAACGGTAACTTAACCATCACAAACTATAAAAACTAATAATGTAAAATAATGTTAAATTTATAACTTTTAAAGGGTTTTTACCCATATATTTTGGTGGCTACTAGCATGTACAACCGTAAGTATTAACCACATTTTGCTCTAACCTTTGTCAACATTTTCATTTAACGTTCTTTTTAATTAAAGTGGTTATATACTTTCAGGTTTGCACTGATGATGGATTGTTTAATCCGAAAACGTTTTGCAATGTGTTTGTGATAGCCCGTTTGAGGCAATTTTATATACCTTTTATAAAGGATTTTAACAAAATTTTTTTTTTTTTATTTATTTATAACTTTACAGTTCGGTATTCTCTTATCAACTAAACTTACTCCTAAGATCGTTACATATATATACCAAGGTTACTATGCTCTAGAAAGTTCCCACCTCTAATTCGCGCACGTGACCGATTGTTCTGCCTTCGAGAGATCTGGTGATGATTCTGGAAGCCGTTTCGATATGCAACCGTTATATGAGCCATGCCGAAAGCATGTTCGTAACAGTATTAATTGTATTTTCGTAGGACTTAAGATCTCACGTCACAGGTAAAATGTACTTGTTCACACTCGAATAGAAAGAATTTTAAATATTTTAGATCGTTTGTAATGTGATAGTTTAAATCCAGAGTTTTTTAAGCATATTTCAAATGCCTCGTATTCGTTACCAAAACTCAAAATCGAAATTTCATGATATAGGTTTTGAAAATTAGGCACTAACAATGGAAATTCCATAGTGAAAGGGCAATGGAAGTGATAAATTTTATTGATATTATGAGAATTGTAAAAAATGACAAAAATCGCGTAACGTTTACAGAAACTGACCGTTTCTTTTTTTCTACGTCGTACAGATTTTTGGTAAATCGAAGATTTTCGTTTTTTTCCTCTCTACGAGGGGAGTTTTAGGGGAAAACCCGGGGAATTCTCCGCAAAATTGAGCTTGTTCGTATGTTTTTGAGAAAAACTGGCATTTCCGTCTCTCACAACTGAAGTACTTCAGCCGAAAACGATTTAACTAGTCTGTAAGATAAGCGAAACATTTTTGTAAAATAATCATTTTTACTAAAAATTCTAAAGTAGGTAAGCAAAATGTCCAAAATCCGAAACTTAATCATCACACCACCATAACAAAGAAAACCACTTACTACAGATAAAAAATACGTTTTTGAAAACCATTTAACGAATATTTTATCTTGTATTATTACAGGGAAACGTAAAAACCGACTTAAACACGGCGAAAAAAAATTTAGAAAATGTAGAAAACGAACTAGAAAAATCCGAAGACGTTTGCAATAAACTTAAAATATCTGTCGATTCGGAGCATTCCATAAACGAATCTTTGAAAGAAACAATTTCCAAACTGGAGAAAGATCTAGCAGAAGAACGATCGAATTCCATTAATGTTCAAAAGACTTTAACTAGGTAAGTTTTACTGGTTTTATTAACGCCCAAGATCTCAGATGGCTTGTAAATAAATTTGTTTCATATTTATTTCACCATTACTGTAAACACCTTTAGGTGTATTCAATCACTTTACGAATCCATTTCTTACACCTTTATGTGAATGAACGTGTTCATAATATACAAGGGTAATGTGAAAAGTTTGCAGCATACATAGGAAAAATGAATTTTTTGTTATTTTTGTTGAAGAACAATTTTTCTAGGCATAATAGTTATAGTTGGTTCGCTATATTTACGTGGGTTTTGGATTAAAAATTTTGTTGTAAGTACCCAGTTTTAATTATCTGCTCTTTGGGGAAATATCAACTGGTCAAATGAAATGAAAAATAATCCATAACTTTTTTTTAATTAAATAATAATGGAAAATCTTTTATATAATTGACAGTATAATAAGGAGAATTACTTCATTAATGGAGTCTAATGTGGCTAATATAAACCTAATAATAATTTTATATTACACTTCACACAGAAAATATGGTCTATGTATATTTGTTCCATGGAGAGAATTTCTAATGAAAAATAAAAAAATTTAACTTGCCAACAAAAATGAAAATCAGTCATTATCATCAAAAATATCATAATCGTCATCATCATCACTGTCATCACCATTAATTGTTATTATGATTGGACTTATTTCGTTTATTTTATTTTCACGAGTCCACCAATCTTCTATTAGTTTCTCGCACTTGAATATACAGTTGCACCACACTTCTGGAGTTACAATTGAAAGTGCCTTTCGCCAAGTTTCCCGAACTGCGTCGTCGCTATAACCGTTAGGCCCAATATGGTTGTCATAATATTGTTTTGCTATTCCCCATATATATTCGATGGGATTAAACTGGCAATGATACGGTGGCAGACGTAAAACTTGATGACCGTAACTTTCAATAATCTGATCCACAACAAAGGTTTTTGGTTTTGCGTGGATATTTGCCAAGCGTAATAATTCTGATTTTAAAATATGTTGTGTAAATGGTATATGTTCCTTTGTCAACCATTCTTTAATTTTATTAACAGTCCAAGAATTCGTTGGACTTTTGTTTAATACTTCAGAATGGTAAGGTGCATTGTCTAAAATAATTACGCTGGGCTCACTTAAACCTGGGAGAAGTTTTTCATGTAACCATTTTACAAACATTTCTGTGTTCATATTATCGTGATAGTCACTTGATTTTGATTTAGATGAAAATATTAAATCAGCACCTTCTATAAAACCCGATTTCCCTCCTGCATGTAAAATTATGTGTCGCTTCCCTTCTCCATCAGTATGTTTGATAGACTTTACGTTATCATCTTGCCATATTCTCTTGGTTGCACCCCTAGAAAATATCCATGTTTCGTCTAAATATATAAAATTTGCCCTTTCTTCTTTTAATTTAGAATATTTTCTTAGAAAGTTAATTCTTTTATGCACAACAGAACTTCTTTCACAAAGGGCTTTTCTGTTATCCTCCTTTTGAAATTTGAAACCCAAATTATGTATCACTTGCCATAGACTTGTTCTGCCAATTTCGTCAAATTTTCTATCTTTTAATTCCGAGAGAATTGTATTTAAGGTCACATGTTCCTTGTTGGCTCGCATTCGATAAATGGTATCACGAATTTCAAATTTTTTTCCATCTGGAATATCTTTCGTTTTCAATGATAGGCGAGTTTTTCGGTGATCTTCTTTCGGCCGTTCATTATTGCGATTTTGTAATACTCCTCTTAGTTTGGTTTCACTAATTCCTAGAGCATCACATACGCGTTGTTGAACAGACATTACCGATTTTAAAGGACCGCCATTTTCTTTTTCATCCGTAAAATACTTATGTACACTACAAATTAGACTATCTACATCTAACACACGTCTAGGCATTTTTAAATATTTCCACCAAACATACAATGTCAACACTGGCAAAGAATCAATTCAACTGCAATATTGTAACAAATTTATACCTACCCTAATGTTATTTTAATGTATTTTAAAATATGACCATTAATGCAGTTTTTACCTAATTTTCTGGGAAGTCGTTTACTGCAACTGGTTATCAATGAGTCATTAGCATAATTTTGTTAATCCGAAACCCGCGTAAATATAGCGAACCGACTATATGAAAGATTTACTATAATAAATTAAGATCGTAATCACTATAATAGAGGAATTAATTTGAGTTTTTTGTTTATTTACTTGCTAGTGACAAATGGACATTAGAATATCGTCGAAGCTTTGTTTGTGAGATAAAAAGTGGCCTATATAACCGAAAATCTTTACAAAAATGTTATGCCCTCCTGTTGCTCCGCTTTTTGTGAACTAAGGGTTCTCAGCTAATGGACAGTCGTCTTCTTCCTATCGACCTTCTTCCATTATAAATTGATATTTTTCTTCTCTCAAATATCCCAGGTAGGACTTTGCTTTTTTTAATAGTCAGTACAACTTGCATCTCTTTTTTTTCTTTCATGTAACACATTGTCTGTGATGATTCTCTGTACACGTGAGATTCGTAATATTCTACAAGCTTGTTATCACTTTGGTTGGTAATTTTAGTGTTATGTTTAATAAATTAATTCCTCCGTAATTTTTTTGGTCCGATTTGGCTCCCTTTTTGAAGAGTGGTATTAGAATGCTTCTGTTTTGTTGTATTATTTTTTGGAATAGTTTTAATAGTTGTTTGGTCAGATCTGGTCCTCCGTATTTTAGGAGTTCGTTCGGTATTCTGTCCTCTTCGGTTTTTTTTTTGCTTTAGTGTCTCTTATTACTTTTTCTGTGGTTCTGCTGCTGTGGAACACATCGTCCCTATCATTTCCAACTATCTACCTTGTCCTTGCATTAGACGTGATACACCTTGTAGCAAAATATCGAAATTGTAGCTTGTTAAGAAACGCGGGAAAATTTTATTTAAACAATCCAATATGAACATTTTGTCATTTTGTTTTGGTCAAAATGTCGAATATACTGCAATCTGACGAAAATGAAATATTCGATACTTGTATTGTGTACCTATAAATATACCTAAAGGCATATTTGTACAACGCAAAATGATGAATGTGTCACATTCATTAGTTTCAGTGTTGTAATTGATACAGTTATTCAATTATAATCTGCAAACTGTCGAAAAGACTATACATTGTTGACAAGAACAAAATGCATGTGTTCACAATGGTGGGAATTATTGCTTCCAAGAAGTTGTTTCGATGAGGCACTTTATCATTTTGTTTTCATCGGTTTCTAATTATCTGATTATTCAGTCAAATATGTGTAGCTAAACCAGAAACAATGATTTTGTCAAAACAAGAATTATTAAAAAAAAAACATTAAAGAATGCTGTCTTTGGGACGTCGTCCACATAGTGTAATTCTCCTTTCTCTCAGAAACACCTCGAAAGAAAAGATACAGCGGGAAAAAAAAGGGATAAAGATAAACAGTCCGCTTTGGAGAATAGAAAAATATTAGCATTTAATTTCGATTTTCAATTTTTTTTATCAACGCCTAAAGGACATCTATCTGCAGGACCTTGTGTTTATGTGAGAAAACTTTTTTTAATTTGGACATTTATTATTTAAGAGAAGGGAGCGTCCAGTGTACCATATAGGGTGGAACCGAACGAAAACGCGGTGGTACTGAAATTGCTACATGTATATTTAAATACATCATGTCTTACCCTCATATTGAACACGTCAAACACAAGTGATGTCCGACAATTGTAAAGGACAACAGAAAAACTTTGCTTTTTCTGCAATGTGTCAATATGTTGTTAATTGTCACCCAAATTTAAAAACAGTTGACCATGTGTTTTTTGTACCGGGTCACTGAGAAATGGATTGCGTACTGAAAAAATCCCCTGTATAGGTACACCCTTGAATGATGGGCACAAATCATAAGACTTGCACGCACTAAGCCATGCCCGTTTGAAGTGACATACCTACTTCATAACGACTTCTTAGATTTCAAACAAGCAAAGGTGACATTTGCACTAGAAAATAAAATAAAACCGAAGAACAAACAAAATAAATATGAAAAAAAAAGAAGTAAAAGATGAAGAGCAAACAAGTAATGCAATTACTAATTTTAAATATAGTGGTGGTATACGGTACCAGTATCGGCAAAATGAAAATAAATTTTTATGAAGACTAAAATTGATGGAAACTTTTTATCTCTTGAAACCAAACAAAAAAAGGCAAACAAAATAGTATAAAAGTATGTGTGAACAAAACTTATTACCTAGGCCATACCACGAATATTACCAATATTTATACCAACATCTAGTACTGCCAGAGATTGTCTTCCAGAACCTGACGCAACTATAGGCAACGATACCGTTTCATTGAAAATTTAAAACTTTTAATTTACCATTATTTTACAACAATTGAGGGTCATGACTGAATACTTGAGGTATCTACAGGACGTGAAGTTCCATAATTAATGTTTGTTACGTTTCTAATTACATCAACTTTCTAGCAATACATACTTTCATAAAAATACTTTTAACAATTTTTTTAAACATAATTTTTCCATTTTATCCTACATCTTTCATTTTTAATTAAATCATTTGTAATAAACTTTGTAAGAACATTAAAATTATTTTAATATTCCTCATTTTTAATTAAGAACATAAATGTGTTAACATTAGACCAATATGAACTGCGAAATGCCACATTCGCTATTTTGAAACATTGCAACAAAGGAATGTGTTAAAATTCTACCAATATAAACTGACGAAAATGCCACATTCGCAATTTTGAGACATTGTACCAAAACAAATCGTTGATTAACACAAAAAACAAAGTATCGAATGTGATTTTTTGGAAAGAAAAAAACAGTAAACAGTTTAATTCTTTTATCAATCTAACAAGGATTAAACATTAAATATAAAAAATATAAAAATTTTTCCATTTATCAAGGCGCTGATTTAGGATTCTCTAAAAAAGAGTTTTCTTGCTCTCCTGAAAAGTACTACTTTTCACATTCGATAGTTGGAAATCGAAGGGACGACATTATAAAACACAACTTGATAGCTTATTTATAAAATGTTGGTGCACTAAAGGTGAAGAGGGTATCCAAAAAGGCAGCATGTTTTTATGGTTTGAATACGTTTGATAATTCAATATAGCACCTCTCAACGCCAACCCGCCTGTTAGATTAATCGTCTTATTGGTGGATTCCACCCTGAATTGGTAATTTGGAAAATTGTAAAAATACTGTTCCATTGATATATTGTTCCTTCTCATTATATAAAAATAATTTCCAACGCATGCATTTTTGAGATGCGGGAATAGCTAAAAGTTATAGTGAGCTAACTCGGGTGAATAAAGTGGTTATTGCACTACTTTCGTACGTCAGTACAATTTACAAATTCTCACGAGTATTTCCATTCAACTGATCCAACAGGCTTTACCAATTTGAAGTCCAAGAGCAAAATGTAATTTTGTATTTTAAGAAACTTATGCTCACAATTTCTGTGCCAATCGCCAGAAAATTTCTCTATTAGAGTATCTCTATTAGTACGGAGTCCAGTACAATGTTAAATAGTAGGGGGGATAAAACACAGCCCTGTTTTACTCCGTTTAGCATAGCTATTGTATCAGATGTTGTGTAGGACTTTGCTTTGTGTATCACTATAGAGTTATTTGATAAGGTTTAGTGTTTTTTCCACATGCTACTTAGTTATTAAGTAGTAGAACTTCAGTTGGTCTGCTTTCAACAGATATAATTTCTTTTTCATTCTGGTAATGACTTTTATCAGTGACTTTGTGTTTTGTGATTTTTCTCAGACTTACAACTCTCTTCCATACTTCTGTTGACTGAGCTTCTCCTACTATCACATATTTTGAATACAAATACATTTTTGTTGCCAGTAATTTATTGTTTTTTTCCTGGTATTTTTCTCCATGTTGAGTTAGTGTTCAGCCATCTCTTGTAAGCCAGCCAAGGTTCTGATTTTTTCTTTCACTTTATGTTACGAATATTTCTTCTGCAACCTTACTTCTCATTAGTCTGAGATTCTGATACACCTCCTCTATGTGACAACTTTCAGTTGTATTGTTCAGTTCTAGTTTTAATCTGTTTGCAATGGCTCTTTAAAATGTGAGGGAGACTTTACTTTAGGATTTTACCATGGTTATCATTATATTTTTTATTTTTTAATAGAGTGACTTCTGAAAAAAATACAGTTCTCCTTCGCAACGCAGAAATTTCCCAACAGATGGAGTTAGTGAAACAAGACATGCGACGACTAGAAAGAGAGATGACAGATCATCTAAACAAACTAAATACGCTAGAAGAAGAAAATGACAAGTTAAAAGATAGTGTATTAGTGGAACAGAGGCTAAGGAAAAATATACTGGAATTGGAGGACCAAATCATGGAGAAAAATAAGGTAAGTTTTTGTATACATTATAGAGTACAGTAGAATTGAAATTTTCTGGTAAATATACCAATATTTTGTTAATAAATTACCTAATTTAAAACCGTAAAATAGTTTCGAAACACCTTTATCAACGTCTGTTTTGCTTTGCAATTTTTAGAAAGCACAGATAAAAGCGGAAATCTGAATTGTGTTTCGAAACTATTTTACGATTTTATTGTCAGATGTCGCTATTGCGTCCATATCGAAGCCATTTTAGCGTTGCTTCTTAAAAGACAGAAAATATTGATCTTTCACGTTGAGAACACCTTTGAATAACTGTTCTGATGAGACCTATTATGTCGAAATACGTATCAACAGATAAAAAGGCGCTATTTGCGTGAAATTAAATATTTGCTGTCTTTTTCACTTTACCTAATTTAAATTAATTAAATAAAGTGATAAGAAGAAAGAAATCTGATTAATTGTACTGAAACGTGTTAAACATTCCCCATTTCATCTCTTATATATTCCACAGCCGTTTTCTATCTATTCATCTAAAACTTTCTAGGAATCAAATTTCTAAGTCTGAGCCTGAGTCTGAGTCTCCTGGGTCTTGAAGTACACTTCTCAGTTTATTTTTGCTAGTTCTATTTGGAGATAGTTTATTTATAACCGATGATGACGCTGCGTTTGCGTGAGAAGAGATGGAAGTTGGGGTGATGGACAAAACGGATGGTATTTTGGCGAAAGGTCTCCATACTGAAGGTAATAGAGTGCAGTCATCTCTTTCATTGAGACAATTAGAACGATTTTCGATCTCAGTGGCTGTTCAGCTCATTCTTGTTTATAGAAACAGATGGGGACTATAGTTCTAGAATTTTAACATCAAGATTTAACCTGCGCTTAGATGATGTTGCAGAATGTGGGGCAGAAACCAAACCAAAAACCGGTGTTTTTGGTTTGAAATGCTGTCTTTGTAGTAACGTGTTTGAAACACAATTTGTTTTTCACAAATAGAATCTAAAATCACTGGAATGCGTGGCAGTACTAACAGTAAATAAATTATTTTGTGAGTGTTGAGGACAAGTCTCTATATGGAAGGTGGCATGGTGCAATACCCACTTTTATTGAGACAATTAGGTCGCTTTTCAATCTCAATGGCTTCTCGGATAATTCTTGGTTTGTAGAAACGAATAGATAGACTACAATAAATGATTAAACTGATTTCGTTCGTTCTTTTTTGCACAAATTTAATCTGTGGTGGGTGCTATATACTCTTTTTCAATTTGTTTTTTTATTATTCTCCACAAAATAGAAACAAAAACCACGGGAATACATGTCATAAAGACGAATACCTGAGATTAGATCTTAAGAAACATTTTGGAACCAGATATATGCCCGAAATACTCAATAGAAATCAGTGGAAAAGATACGATATGTCTTGATTGTTTTTCTTGTGCTCTCTGTAATAATTATAAATATAGAATTTCCTAACAATTGTTTAATTTTCTATTATATATTTTAGAACATCAAGACGCTGCAGTTGCGGCTGGCCGATATGAAAAAGACTCTACAGCAGGAACTGAGGACTCCAGGAAACCCAAACTATCATTCCGATCTTATGGACTTGAATTCCGCAGCTATTTTGACGCCTACGCAAGTTTCAACGCGACATTTCCCGTCTTTTGTCAAAAGAGAAGACGAAGACGTCAACTTTAAATACCTAAAGCACGTAATTTTTAAATTTCTAACCAGTAGGGAGTACGAGGCTCAACATTTAATCAAAGCAATATCCACGCTGTTGAAGTTTACACAAGACGAAGAAAAATTGATTCAAGATACGTTAGATTGGAAGAAATCGTGGTTTGGCACCAAACCGAAGTATCCAGCGACATCCAAATTGAGAAACTTTTCTAATAGTTGATGGTTTTTTCTTGCAGAGCTGTATTTGTAGTAGGTTATGGTCGAAATTTTCGAAATCACAGTATTATGGAATCATTGTTATAAATAAGTAAGTTATTCAATTAAGACTGCCCAATTGTATATAACCCAACCTAACCTAAACCTCCAAGTACCTCATCATCATTCAATGCGGAACTTTGACAAAACCGCAAACATACATTAATGCCTTGTTTGAGGTAAGTTAGTTCTTTTTCATTTCCAATTGTAGTAACTTTTTATGCTCTTAGGTAAAATTCGTTAAATGCAACTTAAAAATGTGCGATACATTATTTTTCGACTTTGATAATGTTTGCGCAATAACAGACCATGACCTATATAGCCGGAAAACAATGTATAATTACAAAACATCTGTTTCAGAGGCTAAAAATGGTTGTCTCATTTATCATATCGTTCTTTATCAACACTTTTACTTTTAGAAGGATCCACATCTTTACTAACAGTGATTCCTATTACGTAAGCTATTCTAGTCGTTTTATTTTTAATAGTTTTACAATTTTACCTTTACCTATGCCAATATTTACTATATTTTTACTGTTAATATATTTTTTTGAAGCTTTATCTCTTTATATATTATATTTTTATTTCTACTATATTCATCAACTGATTTAGTACTTGCTTTCATTTAATTTTTTTATTCTGTAGCATTTGTTTTAACAGATATCGCTTTCTAATAATGTTAAAATGATAAAAACAGAAAATTATCGTAACTGCTTCTTAAAATAACCTTTAAAGTTGTTGTTGAAAAAAATTTAAATTTGTCTGGCTTCATTAACTCACTTTTCTTCTAGAACTTCATACTTTTGGTATATTTTGACGCATGACGTGACAGCTGTCATCCTGCAAATAATCTGGCAAAGTATGTTTGTCTTAAAAAATTTTAAAAACAAAAATATTTTATCTGCTATTCACAATATTGTCTAAATATATTTTTTTAAAAATGTTAAGAATTGCTTGGGTTCCTAAAATCACTAAAATCCTATTGTTTGGATGTTAAGAATTGTTTATTTTAAGCGTTTATACTTTCGAAATGTTGTGACGTATGACGTCATAGCTGTCATCGTAAAGGGGATGCAGTTAACATTGCTATATACTTTCTGTGCTTAAAAATCTTAAAAGTTATTTATATCGAAATTGACATTTTTTACGCTTTTAAATTGACTTTTTTTTAATAACTCTCTTTTTTACTTTCTTACATTTTGTCTTATATTTTGACGCATAATTTCACATCCGCCATCTTTCAAAGTGTGTCATAGTGATATAAAAATATTCAAAACAGAATTGTCCTATCATGCCACAATGACGTCATTTTCTTTTAGGTTTACGTACTTTCTGTATCTTTAGACGCGTGACGAGCACAGCTGTCATCTTAAAAGAAACAAATCCAACATTGCTATAGAAATAAAAGATATAACTGTTCCTCTATATCAAAGTGACATTTATTGACAGTTTTAACTGAAAAAATTCACTTGTGTTTTTAAATAACTTTCTTTTGCTTTCGCCTGTTTTGACACGTGACGTCATAGTCGCCATTTTGAAAAAGGCGTGTCAAAGAGTTTTATGTAATAAAAAATTTTCCCAAATTACCTTTCATGATAATATCTAAATGTATTGCCTCCCCTAGCCTCTATAACTGCCTGTACATGTCGGCTCATGCTGTCTATGAAGTTGCGAATGTCATCTTGCCGTATGTTTTGCTATTCTTCTTCTAGTGCCAAGCGAAGATCATTAATTGAGGCTGGTGAGACTTCGCGACCTTTAATATTTCTACCAAATATGTCCCAAACGTACTCTATTGGGTTCAGATCTGGCGAACACGCTGGCCAGTTCATTTAATTAATACCAACTTCCTCTAAATATTGCGTGATACACATTGCAGGGGGGTCTCGCATTATCTTGCCTTCTATGAAATTACTGGTACAGTCATTATTGTAGACAATGTTTACTTAAGTTTTTAGAATTGTAACACTCCACTATAGGAATCGCGCATCTTACTGAATATCGGACAACTTTCTCGTGAATATTTTAAAATCAACAAGAAGTTTTCAAATAACTGTAAGATTTGTAAACTACTAGGTGGTAATCTTTACAATAATTTGAGCATCTTTTCTCACAGCTTCATAACACTGTTTTTATTGTTGAAGTGGGCTTTATCTATTGTCATCTATTCTACTCATTAGAGCTGTCTTTATCGCAGCTTTTTCTTTATATTAGTTATTTTCTTGACTTGACTACCTCTTGTGAATAGATAAAACAGCATTTAACGTAGTGTTGTCACGTCTTTCTTATAATTACAGCTATTTGAAGCCAAAAGCTTTTTGATTTTTAAAGCGGTCTTTCCCTTAGCTTAGCGACATCATTCTTGCTGTCATTATAGCAAAAACCTTTGTAATTTGTGAAGCGGTTTTTACCACGGCATTGTACGTTATTTATCGCAACTTGAGCATGTATTTTGCCGAGTTAAAACGAAAAACCTTTATAATTTGTGAAGCGGAATTTGTACGATCTTTATCGCAACTTGGGCATGTATTTTGCCGAGTTATAGCGTCTTTAGCTCAATTTTGACACGTGTTTCCTAATTAATAAACATTTTTAGAGAATTTTGGTAGTGATCGTTAAGAAAATATTTTAAAACACTAGATTTGGATTATTTAGTATATATTTTGTAAAACAATTAGCAAATTTTAAATAATAATTGTTATTATTTATTACTAACTTATTTTTTGTTATGGTAATTACACATGTTTCCCTAGGCTGTGATTTCGAATTTTTTTCGTTTTTGTAGTCAAAAACACTATTATTATCAACAAAACCATAATATTAATCAATGTAGAGGTTGCAGAAATTTTCTTTCATTCCGATTGTATGTGATAAAGAGGTACATCCGATATACCGTGTACTGTTGTGTATATATTGTATATAATTTATGTTTCTATTTATAAATTTTTCAAAATTTTGATTTAATATACTTATTTCAAATCGAGCCTTTTATTTACCTCGCCTAAATTTATTATAATGCTCATAGAATATGGCTTCAAGCAAACTGAGGAGAAAATAGAAGTTGCTATAAAGAAAAATATCAGTTTCTTTATTTTATACAGATCTTGTGAAGATTGCAGTCGAGAATAAGCTAGATGTGTGAACAGTGAAGCCTAATTTATATCAAAGAGTCAAAAACATTTTGCCTTTTGCTGGATATTATAAGTTTATAAAAATACACTAAAAGGCTGAATGCCAATGTAACGTGTATATTCTGGAGAATGTTTAAGACTTTCTAGATAAAACAATAATTTTAAATACAAATAAGGTCAGTTTTTCTAAGATGACGGCCCCTGTTTATTATCCAACCAGTATTATGGGAAATTGAATTTCGAAAATAATTTCAACTGGCGCATTCGCCAAAATTTTGACTGTCAAAATGCTCTCACTAAAATTTTAACTCTTCTGTAAAATAAATACAATCTACTTTGAATAACTATCTTATCCAAATGCAGAATAACATCGGTAATTTTTAAAAGATCAACTGCTCTCGCTTTTAGACCATCATCATCTTTGGCTCTACAACCCTGGGTGGGTCTTGGCCTGTTCAAGAATTAGTCTCCATTCCACCCTATCTTTCGCCTTGGCTTTCCAATTTCTGACCTCTAGATTCCTCAAGTCATCTTCGACTTGACTTTTGAATCTAGATCTTGGCCTGCCTTTCCTACTGGCTCTTGATGGAATATCTATCTTTGGGGATCTCCAGGGTCCATTCTTTCAAGGTGTCCTAACCACCTTAGTCTATTAATTTTAATAGACCGGACGATGTTGCATTTTTATAGCATTGATACAACTCAAAATTGTAGCACCTGCGCCATATCCCACTTTCTTGTACTCCTCTGTATATGTGTCTTTCGTAAGTATTAGTCTTTCAAAACGGCCTAACAGTTCTTCGTCGCTTTTTATCATAGTCCATGTCACTGACGCGTATGTCAGGGCAGGTTTAATAAGAGTTTCATATATTAGTATCTTGGTTTTTCTGCTAATTATGTGTGATGCTAAGAACTGCTTTGCTAAGAAAGTAAGCTCTGTTCGCCAGGTATATTCTTCTCTTAATTTCTACGCTTACTAGGTTGCTGTTATTTAGTTGTGTTCCAAGATATATAAATTCCGAGAACCCTTCGAATGTGTGTTCTTCTGTCACCTTTCTGATCTTGTGGTGCCGCTATGTAACAAAAAAATGTGTAAGAATATAACAAAAGTGTGCATGCAATGAAACACAAGTAGTTGGGGGTAAAGTAAAAGATAACATATAATTTCAAAGCTGGCTAGCAGAAGTTGCCGGAGAGTGACTACTTGACACTCAAAGGAGGATTCGGCCAATTTGCATGCCCTACAGAGACCGTAGAATAAGAAAATGAATGACAAGGTTATAAAAAAACTATAGGAATATAACTAAGATAAATAAAAGTGATTATAGAAGTTGCTCCAAAATGTGAGTGGGCGCCAGGAAAGTATTTACATAAACTTTCCAAGGTATCTTGTAAAGCTATGTGCTGAAATAAAAAAAGGATATAGGTATGAATTGAAATATTTAATTTTCACCAAAACTTTAATCCCTAGCCAAATATATACAATATAAATTTATCTTAAAATACCCACCACCAATTATGTACAGTCAACTTAATTATATACAAAAAATAAATGCCCTGGTTATACCCAACTGATCCTTGATGATCTAAATTTACAAATAATAAAATATGGGAAAAAAATGGTAATGATTGACCTAAAAAGGTAATTTACTTGCCTCAGAGATGCAACTCTGTGTTTTGGCTTCAATTGAATGTAATTGTAACAAGTAATAAGGACACTATCTTGACGAGATAAATGTCCAAACGTTTAAATATATAGTAATAATAAAATCTTAAAAAAAATAACTCTTTGATTAAATATGTACACATAAAACCGTACAACCGAGTTAAAAGGGAGGATTTAAAACCTCGACCTGGACTTGACAATTTTAACACTTAAGTAATTTATAATTATTTAGAAAAAATGACGGGTCTTTATTATTAATGAACTATTAAGATTTTATGATTGAGAAAAAAAATTATAAACAAAATTATTAAATTAATGAATAAACAATATAAAAATTAACAATGTTCCACCCTCTAAATAAGGGAGGTCTTTCGGGCTGGTATCCGGAAGTGGTCCGAGAGTAGTTGGGGAGAGCTCTGGACCTCTGATGGAACAGACGGGCAAATTCAAAACGTAATTTTTTTCTTTGTGTAATCAATTCCCAAAAATAAATAAAAGAAAAATCCTTGACTCTGGATTTAACTTCTTGGGGTAGGCTAAAAAGAACAATTGTGTTACAGTTGATCCTTACGCTTAATAAAAGAAGGGGAAAATACAAGGTTTATTAACAAATGAAATAACTTGAAAAATATGACAAAAAAGTTGCTGGGAAGCTTGTATCCAAGAAAAAAAATCTAATGATTTTGTAGATAATGTGACCTTCGCATGGTCTG